TCTCTTTATTACACTTGCAATGTCTTAAGCAGAACTGTGTCTACTAAGACGGCAGTATAATGCAATGCTGCAATGTGACATGAGATGCTGCACCAAGCATAAACCTGTAGTATGTTTCTGGACTTAAAATAATGTTCAGTATGGACATTTACATTTATGCATTTGGTATGCTCTTTCATACAAAGCGACTTAAAGGTACACTATAGCCCCTCCACACAGTGTGTTGAAATTGCTATAAAAAATTTGCTTCTGTGTGAACGCAAACACGTCCCGGGGATTGATGTCGGGATGGGGACTTAGTAACATTGCTGGGATCAGTCCCGTAACGCACCCTGTGTGTACAAAAGCCAGGACCAATGCCGTAAGGGGTGTGGCGTAGTGATGGCGCACGTGCCATCGCAATGATATAGTTATCGTGCGACTCTGTTGCTCTTAGAAGAAAGTTTGTGTCCGTCATCAACGAAGAACGAAAAAATGTCTGCAAACTGGAATGTAGCATAGACCAGGGAGCTCCTTACTATCCGTGCTGAAGCTGAGATCGTTCGCCAGCTTTGTGGAACAGTACGTGGTGAATTAGTGCCTGATTAGCTGCCATTTTGTTAACGCAACGTTTTCGGCGCGTACGTTACACATCCTGACGGGTTTACGGGTGTGTGAATGCACTCACAGATTCCGGAAAATCACTGGCAGTGTGAATGAACCAAAATCAAACGATCCCGGGACAAATCCCGTAACACATTTTCCATGTATTTTCCGGGATCTCTTTGTGAAAGGGGCTTTTGGCCCTCTAGTCTTGCATTATGCGGAAGAACATTTATTTTTGTTGTGCTTCGGTTCTGCATAACTGTGCGGATGAATATGGTTGCCCTACTGCTCATAAAACATTCACTACTAGGCTAAAGATATATAACCAGTTTAAATGGGAATTGCACAATTGATGTGCACAATTTATTGTGAAAGCCATCCCACTAGGTCTAAAATATAAACACTTATAATAGGCTTAGCATATTAAATCAGGGTAAGATCATGTGTTTTGAAAGTGGGATGGGTGGTGTATTGACGTGTGATGACCTCTTTCTTACCCTGGGAAACGAACCCATGACCTTGATAGTGTCAAAAACTACTGTTTAAGCTCGATTTAAGGCTTTAAGTGTATTTAGTCCATTCTGTTGTGTAACTTTTTTTTCATAGCCAGAGTGCACCAACCCACAAAAGGCTGATAATTGTTCTCAAATATTTGACTTCTAAACTCCCTAGATAAAGCAATGTGTGATCCAGGTCTGTGGGAAAGGTATGAAGTCATACTGGGAAGATGTTTTCAAACCACACTTCTAATACTTCAGTTCACAAAGGAAGAGTGAGTCAGGTGTCATGGTGAGGACATTTTCTTGTGACTGAAAGAGCAGATGTTTCAGTTTATAATTTAAGCATTTGTTGTCCAACTGAATGGTTTTTATTTCTATAAAAAAGCAAAATGACAGTCGAGGCGTTGCGGTGGGGAATAATAATGTATTTGGTGTATGGTCGAACACACAAGATTACAGAACGACCTTCAGCTCATCTAAGCCTCTGTTTTTATGATTGGATCATCATAAAACATCTATCTGCATAAAACATCTATGTTGAAGTGTAAATTCTTGGCATATTTTACTTATTAGAGGCCGAAAGTGGATAATCGAGTTAAACTTTCGACCATGTTAGCCATAAAGTTGAGGTTAAAGAACTCAAGAACATGCCAGAGTAATTGTCCCTCCAGTACATCCGAACAGTTTCCTCCTGGTGACCAGGAAAACACAAAGAGCCCTTTGTCAAGGCCAGTGGTGGTGGTGTGTGAGTGTGTCCTTGGCATGTTTCGTTATCTTGAGCATTAGACGCATTAATCACCCCCTAAACCACCACCCCTAAAAGTCTCCACAAACACACACACATGCACATTTTGCCAACTCTAACCAGATTCGCTCCAGCCTCTAAACAAATAACAATTAAAAGATAGATGCACAAACCCCCTTGAAGGGAAACAGTCTCGCATTGTGCTGCACAGGCCATGGAATCAGTTTAGACTGGCCACGCGTAAAGCTGGTATACAAGTCCACTTCCTCTGTGCCAGTCCCTTCCCTTTTAGCACTGTTTCTTTCTGTCGCTCTTCGCTTCCCTCGCTGTCATGCTGAAGAAAAAGAAGGATGGTGAGCTCTTTGAGCCCTCAGTTAGAAAGGTAAGAGGGGAGGTCTTCATGCTTTCCTGGGGGCTGTAAGCTTAACCTTCTGGAATGAAAATACTCCCGAGCCATCTGTGTGCTCAGCATGGATTAGCAGGGGTCAGTGTTTGTCTTCTTTTGAAAGTGACGTGGGCTCCAAACCAATCTCTTCTCAGCATCATTGAACCTTTTTAGAATTTCCAGTGCAAATTCAAGTTCAGGCCGCTTTCACACCTGGCTCGTTTGTTGCAGAACATGGAGCATTTTCTCTCTAGTTGGGTTTGTTTAGGCCAGGCCAGGGGTGTCCAATCCTGCTCCTGGAGGCCCACTTTCCGGCTGATTTAGCTCCAACACACCTGCCTGATGTTTCTAATGATCCTGAAGACCTTGATTAACTGATTCAGGTGTATTTAATGGGGGCTAGAATTAAATTTGTATGTAGGTGTGTAGGTTTAGAGACCCCCGATTTAGGCATATATGAACACTGTTATCAAGCCTCCATCTGTACCAAAATAATCGGTCTGAGATCGCTTGAACGAGCTGGTCTTGGCCCAATTGGAAAGGAGAAAACATTCTGACCCAACAAAGCAAGCAGTATCATAATTCATAATGGAAAATGTGTTGCGGAAAAAGCAGCGGCGTGTGATTCTCTGGATGAGCTCTTACTGCAAAGCACCTTTTCATCTTAAAATGGATTTGAAGCTAGAATGCTACCCGGACAAAGCAGACATTCCCACTCTAATTATAAAAGATATAATTTAGAGTGGGAATGAAAGCTATATTTGTTTCGTTCTGGTATGTTTTGAAGCGACCGAACCAAGAAAAAAATACAATATTCTAACAATTTAAGCTTTTTTTTTTTTAACAAAGCAAACAATCTACAGGTCTGAAAATGAGTGTGGACTCGACTCACAATTATTACCAAGTCAGATATGAAGGTTTGGAACAGAGGTGTGGTTTAGGATCCGTGTATCCTGAATATGTGGATATGCCACATATTTTTCACTGAAAATGCATCCTGAGCTTCTTCTTATCGGATTAGCATCATGTTTTTCCTATGGGTATGTGATTTGTGAGAGTCCTTCCAGTTTGGTCCTTTGGCCCTTTGTGCCAAGCGATGAGATAAACGGGTGCCAAATTGAACTTCACGGAGTCTGTGGGTGTTTGTTTCTCTGTTGGGTTATTGTTGCAGAACCCCTGCGAGTGACAATCGTATTGAAGTGCTTTCGGGGCACAACGATGCGTTTGTGTGAATTAAGGTTTGTGAGTCAAAGCCTTACACTCGTCTGCATAACTGTGTTTTAATCATGGTCTGAAAGCCATCCATCCATCCTGACAACAGTACTTCCTATAGCCTCAACCTAAAGCCTGAAGATTAATCACTGGCTGCGATCACTCAGTACATGGTTGATTGAACACCGATATGGCACAAGGTTATGTAACAGTCGTGCTTTTAAAAATCTCTTAATGGAGTGGGGGGATTTGAGGTTTGCTGTTGAGTCAGATAATAAAGTCAACATGAGATGACTGCATCACGCCGTAATCCTCTCACGATTCATGCAGCGTTCTCCTGCAGCTGCCGGGCCATTAATAGTAGTGCAGTTTATCTACAAGTCTACGATGAGCTCTCGATGGTTTCCGCTGCCTTTCCAGACTTTCATTGAGAGTAGCTTAGTGGTGGTAGACTACACTGATGAAGGATGCTGGTGCAGTTGTCGAGGTTTACTGCCTAACTTGGGGGCAAAAGGAAGTAGGTCAAATTGTTTTAAAGATTAGGACTGGATCTTGATTTAAATGATTTAATTCTCACTTGGCGAGGAAAGGCTAATTCCCTGTATTTCGCTTAATATGTGAATTGTAGCATTGTGTTCAGACTGGCCATTGTTTACAGAATAATTTGACACTTCCTGTGGTAATAGGCACACTGTTAAGCATTATCCAGAGTATTACATCTCAGAAAACAGTTCAAAGATCAATCTGGGGGTGAAATCCAACCTCAGCATGTATGTACTAACAACAAAAACAACAACTTTAGCTAAAGTACATTTTAATATTTTGTACTGAAAGCATGCATTAAATTGTTCAAATGTGACAGTAAGGACAAAAATATTAAACAGCACAACTGTATTGGGCAAATGTTTCTTGAGCAGCAAATCAGCATATTAGAATGATTTCGGAAAGGTCATGTGAGGCCGAAGACTGCAATGATATTGAAAATTCACAGAAAATTCAAAAAGTAATTTATGTATAAATCTATATAAGAAAATTCAACATAACATTTTCGTATGTATGTAATTTTTAGAGATATTATTATTTTTAATCAGGGCTGTCAAACGATTAATCGCGATTATTCACATCCAAAATAAAAGTTTGTGTTTACATAATATATGTGGGTGCACTGTGTATAATTATTGTGTATATATATATATAAATACATACACATGCATGTATATTTAAGAAAAAAATATTTATATATAAAATTTTTATATTTATATATAATATAAATCTATATACAGTATATACTTGAAAATATTTCTTAAATATATACAAGCATGTGTGTGTATTTTTATATTTTTTATAAATATATATATATATATATAAATAATTATACACAGTACACCCACATATATTATGTAAACACAAACTTTTATTTTGGATGCGATTAATCGCGATTAATCGTTTGACACCCCCAATTTTAATAGTTTAATTTTTTTCTTTTTTTTTTACAATTCAGTAGCTTTTAGATATTTCACCTTGAACTTTCTCTCTCTCTTATCCTGACCTCCACCCTTTTTTGTCATGACAGATCCAGTTCGCAGACCAGAAGCAGGAGTTCAACAAACGTCCCACCAAGATCGGCCGCAGGTCTTTGTCTCGCTCCATCTCACAGTCTTCTACAGACAGTTACAGCTCAGGTACGACATTGTTCAAACACCAAAACAAACTGTAGACTCAAATGGCCATGCCCTGGTAAACCTCAGTAAGGTGGGCTACTGTACATAAAATTAGGTTTTACCACACGTTCAGGGTCGAATGTAGTGAGTCATGTGAACAAAGGCATTCCTGTGTGGCTTCTCAGGCTCTTTAGAAGGATTACATTGATAACACAGAGAAGAGTTTAGGAGGGGAGGAGGGGACATAAAATCTACATTCCATTACATACATATTCCCTTCTTCAGCCGCCTCGTACACGGACAGCTCCGATGACGAGACATCTCCCCGCGATAAGCAGCAGAAGAACTCCAAGGGCAATGGAGACTTCTGCATAAAGAACATCAAACAAGCCGACTTCGGACGCAGGGAGATCGAGATCGCAGAGCAAGGTGAGAGGGGCCCTGTGTGTGCATTAATATATTTACACGTGCCGACAAGCTATAACTGTTTTTACGAGCATGACGGCTGTTTGTGCAATGCCGTTGTCCGCAGGCCTGTCAATATATTAAGCCGTTGGTATTTGTTTATGTGTGAAGTCAAAGTGTGTGTTTGTGTGAGATCAAGCGAAGCATGTTTTGATGTTCTTCCTGTGATGGTGAGAGGCCATATGTTCACAGCAGGGCGCCCCCTTCAGCCCCTGTAACCACATGACCAAATACTCCCATTGTGCACTCACACACAGCCTGTCTTGGAGGTTTAAAACTCTTTCTATATAATCAAGGATGTTAGCATGTTTATTTTAATATTATAGGCATGATGTGTTAATGACTTGTGTGGGTATTTTTGTACTGTAGAGATGCCTGCTCTCATGGCTTTGAGGAAGAGGGCTCAGGGAGAGAAGCCATTGGCTGGAGCAAAAATTGTGGGTTGTACCCACATCACTGCACAGACTGCTGTGAGTGTCTGTACACACACACACACACACACACGATAATACACCAAATACTTGAAGACCTCATGTTGACTTAATTTGTTCTTAAATTAAACTAATTATATTTAATTACACTATAATTCCAACACCTTAATCCTAACTCTAACACCTTTTGGGACATTATTTTCCCAATTTAGGAACATTTTTATTGTCTATATGAGTACATTGTAAGAGATAAAAATAATGGTAATTTTTTTGACCACAAATTGACATTTGTATTTCATAGGGACCGTTTTATTAAATTTTTCAAATTGTGTTTTACTTTTTCTTTTTTTCTTTTCTGGATATGTAACTTAATAAAAATTTGTTATCAAGTAGTTTTAATATAATTAAATTATATAAGAAACATATTTCTTTCATGACATAAGAAATTATTTTGCCACCTCATTTGCCACCGTCTCTGTACAGACTTTAGAAGGATCCCAGTGTCAGAAAAAAGTGGATGTTTTATTTTATTGGTGTCCCGGATTGCGTCGGAGAATTATGTTTTTTTGGAGCATTTTGGGTTTGTAAACTAAGCTCAAATGATTTCATAATGCTTTGTCTGTAAATGGTGGTTCTACATGGATGTTTTCAAAACATTTACTCACAATAGTGAGTGGGCATTGATATGGTTTCATATGCAATGACATTAGCCGATCATAACAGTGGTTGTTTACCGACAAGCCTTAAAGGAGCCGTGCCTTTTCAGACAGAGGGTCGTAATGAGGGTTACAAATCATCGTTTTTCAACAAATGTATTTGTTTTGTTTTTTTGCTGTGGAAAACAAACTTTATTAGCATTTTAAGTGAACCTCAAGAAACATTAAAATAATATTTAAAAATAATCTATGTCATTACTATAAGTAAAAAAAAAAGATTTATCATGGCGACGTAAAAAGTGAAGTGTCTGCTGTCCGCGTTTTTTACATCACAGAAATCCTAAGGCTCCAGTAATTTCAATAATGTGTGTGTGTGTGTGTTTGCAGGTACTGATGGAGACTCTCTCTGCTCTCGGTGCTCAGTGCAGGTGGGCCGCCTGTAACATCTACTCCACTCAAAACGAGGTAGCAGCCGCTCTGGCTGAGGGAGGTAAATCTTTTCTTTCTTATTCTTGTTTCCTACCTATTCTGTTGTATACTTTTCTGTCCTGATTAACTCCTGTGTGTCGTGTCTGGCAGGTTTCTCAGTGTTTGCCTGGAAGGGCGAATCAGAGGATGACTTCTGGTGGTGCATCGATCGCTGTGTTAACGTGGAGGGTTGGCAGCCCAACATGGTAAGTGGTAACTGGACTATATACACCTACAACTAGACTATGAAACATTATGAGTGTTCAGTGTCTCAACAGCTTATGCCTTGTAGATTTTAGATGATGGAGGGGATTTGACCCACTGGATTTATAAGAAATATCCCAACATGTTCAAAAAGATCAAAGGCATCGTAGAGGAGAGTGTCACTGGAGTTCACAGGTGATTACATTTGGGAAAAGACTTTGATTTGTTAAATACATTGAAATAGTGTTACATTTTTGACATTTGGTATGGATCAAGTCAAAACTTAAAATTTAACATCTAACATATAATGAACAATGTGGGGACCTCAATTGTTTTTCCATATCAAATAGCGATGTCTCCATCTAGTGGCAAGTAGTGGAACGTTGATGAAAGTATAATATTTTAGAAAGGCAAGATATCAAAAAACATTAAAACTATCTTTATTCTATTTTAATATATTTTAAAATGTAATTTATTCCTGTGATTTTAATATATGGTGTTTTGCTGCTCTATTATTATTATTATTAGTGATCAATTATTAATAATAGTTTGTATTATTATCAGTAGTAAATGCTTTATATCTAAATATTAAATATTAAAATCGTAAAAAATTACAATTTATTCCAGACTTTTGACCGGTAGTGTTATATATTTATTATATCATTATTAATTAATATTTATTACCATCATGGATTCTTCAGAATTTTTTTGTGGTGTTTTCTTGCTAAGCTGTTCTCATATTAATTTGTTTTTACCAGGCTATACCAGTTGTCAAAAGCGGGCAAGTTGTGTGTTCCTGCGATGAATGTTAACGATTCAGTGACCAAGCAGAAATTTGACAACCTGTACTGCTGCCGGGAGTCTATCTTGGATGGGTATGTCTCTTGTTAAGGCTTAGGGTTAGGAACAGTTACCAAGTCTAACTCAAAAAAAATTTCCCAGTCAATATGGTTAAAGAGGTCCTATGCTTTTTTTTTGTTTTGTTGCATTTTTAACTTAACTTTAAGCATGTTTCTGTTTTGTGTTCAAGTCTAAAGAGAACCACAGATGTGATGTTTGGAGGGAAGCAGGTGGTGATTTGTGGATATGGAGAGGTGAGATAAATAAACAGCAATTATTTCCAACTAATAACAGTTTCCTATGAGAACCTCCGGAGAGATACGTTCAGAATTTGCTTTGCATTATATGTAAAATAATTTAAATCCATTTATTCCAATGACTGGTATTTATCATGTCCAGCTCTGCAAAATCTATAAATTATTTTTTAAATTTTACATTTAAAATGCAATTTGCCCAATTATTTAAGCCTCAACCATTTTAAAACCATTCTGCAGTTCTGTCTGCTGATTCAGTTCCTTCTGTCAATCATTTTTGGTGGCCACGCCTCCACTGCATTGCTGCATTACTGCATTATTAAACGCGTACCAGATATGGCCACTAGAGGACTCTACCTCTAAATGTGTTTCTTTTGATTTCTAATAGGAAAGTCAACCTGATTGCTTAATTCAAATGTTTTTCCTGGTGCAACAAAAAATGTTGATCATGTCCTGTGTGTGTCAATCAAATTGAGTCCATGTGTGCTTTTATAAATATTTTCTTTCAACTTTTTTGTTCTGAATAATTACTTTGTTGGTCTTTGTGTGTGTAAGGTGGGAAAAGGCTGCTGTGCTGCTCTCAAAGCAATGGGCTCCATCGTCTACGTCACTGAGATTGACCCCATCTGTGCTCTACAGGCCTGGTGAGTATGAAGTCACTTTCACTGAATCAGCAGTGATGTCCTTTACTAGATGCTATTGGATTACACTTATGTCATACTAATGTGTAAATGCTTGTGAACCAGCATTTGAGTGGTGAATGGCTCTCCAGGACTGTGTTTTCAGCATTATTGCTTACCTGTTTGATATTATCGTAGTACAGTACTTTCCTAAACATTGTAACATTTCTATAATCACTGTTTCCACAGCTATCAGTTTTCTGTTGAATTGACAGCAAAGTTCTTATTCAGCATTCAGTTTCATGGTTAGTCTTTATTGTTTTACTCTTTATAAAGACTACAGTCTCTAATTCATATTTGTCATCACACAGCATGGACGGCTTCAGGCTGGTAAAACTCACCGAAGTCATCCGACAAGTCGACATCGTCATCACCTGCACAGGTATTTTTAGATCCGGTTTTGATTGTTGTAAACTTTAAATGTTTGCATGGTGATTATTATTCTGTTCGGCTGATTATTTGAGGAAACAAATTATGAAAAGTTACCTAAAAATGAAAATTTGATCTACTTAAAGTTATTACATGTAAAAATTAGCCTGGGAAACCCCAGAAAACAAATTTAGATTTGCTCTGAAAGTTGCTCTGAAATTTAGATTTGCCGTCGAAATCGCGACACCAATCAGAAACGTTGGGGTGGGCTTTACACGATGACGACAGCGCTGGGATTTTAAAGCAGATTTTGTAGCCTACATTACAAAGATGGACGCCGCCGTCGAACATCACTCGCTCGAATCAGCTATCGTGTCTGTTTTAAGCGATTTGAACGTTTCCTTTTTGTTAAAGACCGAGCAAAGAACAACACTCAGAGATGTTTCTCCGCTGGCCGCCGCTCTGCATATGTCATCTCCTTCATCGCTCTGGGGTGCGTTTCCCGGAAGCATCTTTAGCCAACTATGGTGGCAAGTTGGTCGCAATTTCCATTGAACTCTATTGGTAACGACGGAACTTGCGACCATAGTTGGCTAACGATGCTTTCGGGAAACGCACCCCAGATTGGTTTTATTTCCGTTGGTGACGCCCCTCTGGAAATGATTTGTCTATGACATTTTGCCAGACCATAACTCAGTTACAACTGAGAATGGTCTGGTTTTAACCAGGCTATGTAAAAATGGACATACTTTACAGATTCTCCTTTCGTCTTCCAAATAAATGAATATTATTATTTTACATATTGACTGGATTCAACCTCTCCTGTAAGATGTAACAAGGCAATTCAAGAGTCAAACCTGAATGACAGTTTAATCTGTAGGCAGCGTTGCACTTGTGGATGACATTACTTTTAATACTGTAATTGCATTTTGACGACTTGGTCCATTTAGTTGTTCTATGGAGGTGAAGAACAAGAGACTCCCAGGATGATGTGGCGCTTTGAGTCATATCAGATCAATCTCATTCCCAAAGCTCCCTTCATCAACTAAATATGTTTCTCATTTACATTCATCTCATTCTTATTGTGTGTAATGTCCATAGGCAATAAAAATGTGGTTGTAAGAGAGTACATGGACCGCATGAAGAACGGCTGTATCGTCTGCAACATGGGCCACTCCAATACTGAGATTGATGTGGTGAGAAAACTGCTCTAACTCACGTTTATTTGATAACGTCTGATAGTGCACATGGTTAATACTGAGTGAGTGTTTTTGTTTTGTGCACCTTATTCTTTAACACATTTCCTACAACTTTTCAGGCCAGTCTGCGGACCCCTGAATTGACCTGGGAGCGGGTGAGATCGCAGGTGGACCATGTGATCTGGCCTGATGGAAAGAGAATAGTGTTGCTGGCGGAGGTTTGAGATCGGAAATTTTTGATATAAACTCCCCCTATTATTCTTTCTCAGGTTTTTGCCTTTCATATGTAGTGTGTTATAAAGCAGAGTAGGATCTCATAAAAGGAGGGGTTTAGAGAGACTGAATACTTTTACCAAACCGTTTCAGACACTGAGAAAAGAGCTGATGCTGCAATGAGAAAATTCAGAAAATGAAAGTGTTTTTTGTACTTGGATGCATGTAATTGTATTTTATGAGACTGTGAGATGTATACATATGAGATTTTAGGAACCGTTAACATAATAGGAGCACTTTAAGTACATCTTCATAATGTCAACTTTCATTGTAGTAAATGTCTCTACATATAAATGCGTCTACGTTGCTAAATATCCAGGATGTATGCCTGTGTAGGCAAGTTTATTTCATCAGTGGTTATTCAGAGTGTGTTACACAGGCGTTATATAGAATAAAAAAGAAAAGCTTAAAATATTTCTAAAAAACAGAGTTTGTAAGCATTTTAAAGTCTTAAATGGTCCAAATATATATGTATATTTCCAGGGTCGCCTCCTAAACCTGAGCTGCTCCACGGTTCCTACCTTTGTGCTGTCCATCACGGCTACTACCCAGGTGAGAAGAGAGAAAAAGACTGAAAATTTGCACAAATGACTTTATTAAATGCATAATGTCTGAGAAAAGAGAATTTGACTCATGTTGGAATCAGAGAATGGGTTTCTCACGTGTGCTGTGTGAGAGTATGAACCCCAGGCACTTAAAATGTGTGTGTGTCACAGCCTTGCTGTTGTCATGGTGACTGATTTCTTGCTCCTTTTTCCCCAGGCTCTGGCTCTGATAGAGCTGTACAATGCTCCTGAAGGCCGCTACAAACAGGACGTCTATCTGCTGCCTAAGAAAATGGGTATGAATTATAGACAAAAAAGAAAAAAAAAAACATTTCTAAATGTTTATGCATGACCTGAATCAAACTATTTGAGACTTCTGCGCTGCTTATCTTCCATTAAGACAAGTGTCGCATGCAGTAAACCCAGTAATTGAGTGAAATCCTCAAGGGTTGTGTTAATATTATGTCTATCTAGGCTTGTAATCGCTGTAATTGGTTTGGTCGGTGCCATGCACGGATGTTTTCAGCCTGTTGAAAGATTCAGTGTTTTCTGCGGCACACAGTGTAGAGAGTCAAGCGATTGTAGGATCCTGCATAGACCCCGAGGAGCAGGAGACAGCTGAAAATAGGTCATGCTGTCACAAACGGCTGCTACTTAGCACTGCAGACTGCTCTGTTCTGTCATTTCCCATCCTTTCTATTGCTCTTCATCACAGAAACGCAAATATATGAGATTGAATTCCAAACTGCTTCTTTAACCCTTGTGTTGTTTTCAAAACCCTATAAAACTTGTGGTGCTCCTGGTCAAAAATGACCCGAACACAACACAAGGGTTAAGAAGAGGTGGAAAGATATTATATTCAGTTAAATTCACTTTTCTGAGATTTCCGTGATTCTCTGAGACTACGACTACATTAGTCCGGATACATTTGAAAACTTTTCATTTCAAAGCGATTTCATTTTACGCTACTTGTCCACTCCAAGCGTGCAGCACATGTCCTGAAAAGTGAAGCCAAAGCATCTTTAGATTTTCGACTAAAATTTAAAATAAACAAGACTAAAATGCTGTATTAGCCAGATTAGTGTACTGTAGATGTTGTCTCAATCTTTGCATTGGAAGTAAAAAACTGTTTAAATAGCATTTTTTTTAAATGATGAATAGCATTTTAAATAGCATTAAAAATTAGCATTAAATAGCATTTTTTTTAATGAATAACATAATAGTGAGCATGAAGTGCAAGTGATATTGATGTGTCTTGATGCACAATTTGAAATACTAAACTTCTGTTTTTGCAGATGAGTACGTGGCCAGCCTTCATCTCCCTACGTTTGATGCACACTTGACTGAACTGTCTGACGAACAGGCCAAATACCTTGGCTTGAACAAGAACGGACCCTTTAAGCCAAACTACTACAGGTCAGCGACTGCTTGTTAAAATAGTTTGATTTTTAAAATGTATTATGCCCCTATTATGCTTTTTAAAATATTACCGTTCATGCTGTGTGTAATAGAGCTGTTGGTGAATGTAAAAGGTCTGGAAAGATTTCAAGATCAAAGTGCATGACAAATTAAGTTATTGTCTCCTAAAAGAAAGAACCAATTCTGAACTGCCGGAAACGAGTCGTCAGCAATTCCAGTCTCACTTCCTGTTACATAGCTACGCATATTCCTCATTGGCTGCCGGTGAACAACATCTACTATGTCTACGAAAGCAAATCCACTTTGCATGCACTTCGAAATGATGAGATTGATACAGTAAAACTGACACCATCGTTACTGTTCGTTTCACTGTGTATCAAGTGCTGAGGAAGATCTGGAGCTGAAATTAAGATATAGGATGGGAGATTTGTTTCCAAGACGTGCTGTAAGCAGTAGACCAATCAGACCACAGATTGGGCCCTCTGACCATTCAGAACAGAGTAGACCAATCAAAACAGATTGGGCTGTCTGACCAATCAGAGCAGAGTAGGCTATCGGAAAGAGGGGTTTAGAGAGACCCAATCTTTTATCGAGTGATTTCACACACTGAGAAAAGAGCTGAAGCTGTGATGTATATTATTGAGAGTGTGTTTCGACCTTGGATGCTTGTAAGCTTATTGTAGGAGACTCCAAAACATAATTAGGAACCTTTTAAAATAGCATAATAGGGGCACTTTGAAAACTCCTCAATCTGTCTGATATTAACCATTTGTTATGTTTTATTTTTTAGGTACTAGATCCATTTACAGATGGAAAACGAAGACTAAAGAAATTACCAAGACTCCATAAATTCATACAGACGAAGGCGAGACAGAGCTGTGTGTCACAGCCTGCCTTTGAAGGGGAGGGAGAAGTCCTGATCTGATTGGTTGAGAGGGAAGGGCGTGGCTAATTAGCGCTACGGCAGTATTTATTTATTTTACGCTAGAATAACATGGCTAACCTTTTATGAGCTGCTACTGCCAGTGGTGCAACCTAGCGACGTTTTCATGGAGATTTCACCGTTTCATCTTTTCTTAGCTTCATGTGTTAGTTGTACGTAATCCATTTAGAGAACTTTTTATTGTTTAACTATAAGTTCCGGTAAAGAGGAAAAAAAAAGAAAATGTTCAATCATACCTGATGATTTAGTCTTGGACATGCCCACCTGCTTGTTCCCTGTCCTCTTGTTTTCTACATGATTTTTTTCTTTATATAAAAAATGGGGGGTGGGACAGAATACAGTCAGGCACTGGGCTTGAAATCGTTTATTTTAGCTGATCACACTATACTTTTGTTGTTATTTTTTTTATTTTTATTTTTTTTTAAAAACTTGTATTACCATAATTTTTACAGCAGATTTTAACATTTTGCGCTCTCTTGGTTCTAAATAAAATCTGTTGAAATTTAACTGGATTGTGAACGATTTGGGGGCGGGGCTTATCCCCACCGTTCATATAGACTGGAAGCTCATTGGCTGAGGCATTAGCATTTCAAATTTCGCTCCCAAAAGCAACATGCTGTTTCCAGTTTTTAAGAATGTCAGTATTGATGTTTGAGATGGAAATGCTCAAACTGCGCATTCACAAATCTATCCATGTTAGTGCTGAAACTCATCAGGCTGTGTTATCACAGGGGTGTATATTAGGATATTTATACTATTTTTTTTTTTTATCTTTTCCTTCTGCCATCATCTTTTGTTCCTATGAACTCATCCTCTGTCTATCATTATAAAAAAATAAGCAATTAAATGTTATGATACTCTAGTGTAATATGAAATTTAATGAAACCCTTGTTTTATATACTGTGAAGTAGAGCCTATATCAATGAGATACCAAATGTACAGTTAATCCGGTACCGAGTTTCTTTCCAGGTCCTCAATGGGAGAGAGAGATGTGTGTGTGTTAAATGAAGCCAAGACCAACTGTGTACTCATTTCAGAGGATTGAAGGAAAGCTTTGCTGTTTGCAGGCCTGTAGAGCAAAAGCTGCCTTTATGACTGGGATATTCAAATCTAATAAAATTGGGACCTATATTTTACTATATTTCTGAAAATCTTTATGGCAGATATTTATCTCTTTTTTGCCATCCGTGTTTGTCATAAAGGGAATCTAAATGACTTTTTACCTGTTTCCTGTTTAATGTGGCATCATTTTCCTTTACTCAGGACTGTCATATGTTGTAGGTGTCAATTGGCTGGTAATGTTTGTCCTACTAGTAATTATGGTCCTTGTTGTGATATCAAACATCACGTTACTGTTCCTGGGGCATTTCAAAAATTAGGCTGCTTTATATCATACTGCAAATAATGATTTTCTTACTCAGGATTTTCAACAAATATTGAAACATTCTGAAATCAAGATATATTCACTTGAGAAGCAAAGGGACTTTACTAACAGCTTGTGCCAGCGCAAACCCTATTTTGGCGTTGAAAAACTACTGTCAGGATTTACTAAAGACATGCAGTGAAAAATTTGCGCTGAAAAGGCGTGGACCGGGTTTTATTTGTTGCTGCTGACCTTATTGCGTATGCATTTGTTTCAGACTCAAAATTTAGGGGTGGAAAGTATTTAAATGAATCATGCGAGGTGATTTGGTTCATGAATAGGTGGCAGCAGAGTGAAATGTGAACTTTTTTGTTTTAAAGGGATAGTTCACACCAAAATGAAAATTCTGTCAGTAATTATTAACTCTTTTGTTGTCCCAACCTGGTAAGACTTTTGCTCTTCTTCGGAACACAAATTAAGATATTTTTGAATAAATCTGAGAGCTGGATCACTCCTCCATAGGCTTCTAAGGGATTGAAACTTGCCAGCCCAGAAAAGTTGTTAAAGACATTGTTAAAATAGTCCAAGTGATTCCATTGGCTCAATCTCGAATTTATAGTCCAAGTGATTACATTGGCTCAATCTCGAATTTTTTCAAGCGACGAGATTACTATTTGTGTCAAAAACTAACAAAAATAACGACTTTATTCAGCTATTCATTTCCTTCTCTGTGGGCCTCGAGTGAGTTCACGTTGTGTAACTGAGCAGCGCTTCTGGGTTGTGCAACACACATCACACACATGACCAGCGTTGGCCAATAGTGAGCCTACGTGTGACGTAAAGCACAGAAGCGCTGCGCAGTTACACTTCGTGAACTAACTCGAGGCCAACAGTCTAATTTTTCGAACCTCCCTCTTCTGGGTCTAAACGGCCCAAATGCATGGTATACATGTAAATAATGGTAATTTGGTTTAATCCATTTTTCAGGAAAGCAAATGTTTATTTTGCTTCTCAATAAAATGTATTGTGATTTAAGAATATTTTTACTGGTAAGACAAAACTACTGAGTAAGATCATTTTTGCAGTGACACTTTACAAAATCCTTAACAGTGTTACGTTCTCTCACAAACTTGTGCTTTCTCTACAAACACAGGAGGGGTTAAATGATTGTTCATATGTTGTTAGTTTGTGCTGCTTCGGTAGTTTGTGTTCAGAACGTCGTATTAAATCTGTAAATGTATCGATACCCCTGCTGAAAAATCCAACTAAAACCAGCCAAGGCTGGTTGGCTGGTTTTGGCTGGTCTCCCAGCCTGGTTAGTTGGTTTATCAGGCTGGTTTTAGAGGGGTTTTGAACACTTTTTCAGCTGGTCAGGCTGGTCTTAGCTGGTCAAGTTGGTAGCCAGGCTGGGAGACCAGCTTGACCAGCTAAGCCAGGCTGGGTGACCAACTAAAACCAGCTACTTCCAGCTTAAACCAGCTAAGACCAGCCAACCAGCCTAGGCTGGTTTTAGCTGGATTTTTCAGCAGGCCTATATTTTCAATAATCATCCTATCACATTCTCTATCTGCTTAACACACAATCTCTGTACTAAAGCACATCAGTTAGTGTACACGTCTTGTTAAAATGTGTTCAACCCATTGTCTTAAATCTATTTTTTTTTTTTTTTTTTTTTTTTTTTGAGGTTATGTGTGTGTGTGTTGTGCATGCGTGCATTGCAATGTTTAAGAGGCTCGTGTGGACAAACCGGGGTCTTTGCTGCAGACAGTGTGGCAGGAGATGGTGGTTCCAGGCCTGGGTTTTGCCGAGGATTTTTCAGGATGGTTTTAAAATCACATGGAGTGCATGGGATCAACACCAGCACCTCTTATGGAGAACGAGCGTTGACATTTAAGACGCTAGAACATCTCTATTTATTGTTGTAAATTTTCACTACAAACAAGAAAGTCTTTAATGATGAGTTGTCAACAATGTTTAAATATGGCAAGTGATGGTAGATGAGCAATAATCTGTAATCCTGAGGAACAAAAATAAAAATCACCAGTGTAATCTTTTTTTTGCAAGTATACCGACTGCGGTATTTTTTGTTTCAGTAAGCAATATCCTAATCTTACTCAGTATTTTTGTCTTGGTTAACAGTATGAATAATAAGTCTTAGAAGTATCAAAATCAAGTGAGTTTTTGAATAAAATAATCAAAATATCTGCCATAATTTTCTTACCCCACTAGCAATTTATTAATCATAAACTCGCTTAATATTTATCCTTTAATCAGAAAATTAGACTATATTTAGTCCTTTTGCTTCTCAAGTGTAAATGTAGGCTATCTTGATTTAAAAATGTTTAGATGTTTGTACACTGGAAGACAAAAATATCAAGAAAATCCTTTTTTTAATGCAGTGTATTGGTGTCATATCCATGTTTGACTTGATTGTTCATTGGTGTTTTTTAATACCAGAACTAATTCACAAAAAGCACAAAGTCCCTATTTTGTAAAGGGGTGTTTAAAAAGGTTACACAAATGCTGAAAGCAATAAAGAATGACCCATTCAGGAAATACTTCTACACATATTATTTGATCTAATTCCTGAAATGTTATTATTGAAAACTTTTTTGATATGCTTAAATGGATTATTTTGATTATTGCGCACTCTGAATTCCTTTCCATTGTAAGCTTTAGACTCCATCCGTTCATTTTATGTGAAGAGGAGACTGCTTGTTTGTAGACAAGCGTTCAATTTTCTTTAATTTCCTGAAAGTGTTTGAGATGGATGGGAGTAATTAGCCAAGCCTAATTTAGAAAGACTGTCATTTAGGGGATTTTAAATGCTGTGGTCATCCCAGTGAAAAGTGGGGAAGCTGTTATGATGCCTTTAGGAAAAATAGGCCTAAATTTTGACATGGTTGATACCTAAAAATAAGGTATTTTAAAGCTGTTGTTATTCTTGGTGAGCTTAGTCACTTTGTATATTTCTGGACATTGAGCTCATGGATCGGAGTTATAATTGGACAGTGTAAACAGTGGGTGTTGATTCTGGACTCATGATGGGTTTTTTTTTTTGGGGTGGGGGGGGGGTGCAAAAACGAGAACAGCTGCTGTTGCCACTCACACCCTCAGGCTACATGAACAAACACAATGTTGGCTAACTTGCCAATTTTACCTTAAAGAGCTTTCTATCTGATTTAACACACAAAAATACGTTATGTTAAATTATATTTTTGACTTAATCAAAACCAGTTAATTTATGTTAGCCTTTTTAGTTGTTTTCCCCCAGTGCACTTACAAAGACGGCTGCTGTTGAATGTCTTCATTCTGACCTGTAGGCTATGACAGAGGGGGTGTTTAGATACTCCATGAAAATAAAATGGAACTAAAAACAAAAATTTTTGTTTTGGCCGCTAATTTATGACAGTGCCGTTTTGGGGGCCTGAACTTCTGAATATTAATTATTTAAAGTGAAATTTTTATTGTCTCTGTGTAAACTACAAAAAAGTGATAGGCCGACTATTACGAGTGTTTCTTTACAAGTGAAGCCTACACGAGATCCAGGGGGCGGACTTGGATCCAGATGTAAGGGGTGGAGATGGGTAGGATTAAGGGTGGGGTTAGGGATCAGGGGGTGCAGATGGGTATAGGATTAGGGGTGGGGTTAGGGTCATGGGGTGGAGATGGGTAGGATTGGGCATATATAAGTTGGTAGGAGTTGGATGTGGATCCAACTCCTCCCCCTGGATTTCGTGTTCTGCAGCGAGGACCATCTATTGGCCTACATCTTTGTGTAAACCCTTAAAAGTGAGGGGGAAAGTTGCAGCGTGCAAGATATGCTACATTTAGACATAGCCGGGTATTTAGAGAAATATCCCCGTTTTTTTTGTTGTGTAAATTAACGCATATGCCTACATTTTTTCCCCATTTCTTTGTTAAAAATGGTGTCATGCTAAGTCAAAGTTTTACACTTTCAAATTAAAATGTCCATTGTATTGAAGCCAATTGTTTACACCACCATGCCGTGTCCCCTTCCTCTCAACGTTATATTACTCTCTTGTCAAAAACATCACAATGTGGCTCTTTCAGTGAAGAAGAAAACCCAGTGTTCTTTCTGTTCCTCAATCTGAATAATAGCACTTTGTTTGACCACATCTTGACCACTCTCTAAAGGCCATGTCGTTCTTAGATTGGCTGGTTTTATTTATGTCTTTATGTATTTTACATTAATAACTAATAATTAATACATCATTAACTAATAAGCGACACAAGCATATGCACTGGGGTGTTACAAAACAAAACAAAAAAAATCCAAGCAAAACCAAAAAAAAATCACTTTTCTAACCAAAAAAAGAAAACAACAAAAACAAACAATCCAAAAATATAATATATATTTTATTTTATTTAAAAACACACACTCCCAGATAATGAATAGAAACACAAGATATTAACATTCATTATTGCAGGGTTTATGTCAAATTAAAGGCAAAATAAACATTTATTAAAATTAGTAGGCCTACATTTATAAGAGAATTATGATTAGCCTAGTTTTTTCAGTGGAAAACCATTCATTGTGATGTGCTCTCTATTTGTTTTTTTTGTTTTTTGTTTTTGTTGTTGTTTTTTTGAATCACCAGAATATACACTAAATTCGTAAAAACATATGTCTACAACTCACAACAAATTTATGAAAACATCTATGTATATGAGAAAACAATTTATACCAGGGGTAAATTACAACGTTTAAGTAAGGAAATACCTAAAAAATACATAAGTTATTTGCGCTTTTGTTTTTAAAATGGTCCAAAATAGTGTCATATCATGTGTGCACTGTAATGCAATAGTAGCACCTGCATTTTCGTGGTCAAGTGCGTTGTGGGCGTGGCTCACCGCAGGCGTTGCGTCAGCAGCCAATCAGAGCGGCGGGGCCGGAGATAACGCGGAGCGTGGAATCCAGCAGCGTATGTTCCAGTGTGACTGTTTTTCCGTGCGGCGAACACATCCTCAGCCT